TCTTTACACTTATAATGACATTTTTGCAGCTAATGAAAGATAGCTAATTTAGCTTTCCTAATAGACTACTAAACATTTTAAAGAGATAACTAAGTCACATTCCACAGAAAACTGACTTCCAAACCCTCTGATTTTTTTCCTCAGGATTTAACAGCATGGAGTACATCTGTAAGGAATGGACAACAAATAATTCGTATCTCTTATATCATTTTAGAATAACTATACATCCCATAAGGGAGTTTTCAAACTGCTCACACCATAAGTATGTACACTGCTGTATGTGAAATCAAGTCAACACTCAAAAATGCTGCCAAGAGACAGGTCAAGATACTTGGAAACTCTTAAAGATTTAAAGTATATGACATGTCCCAATGATTATTTTACAAACACATTTCTTTCCATATACAAAAACTAATATTAAATCAAGCTAAATATCTTATGTGATTTTACCAGTCCTTTGCATTTTCTAACAAAAGATATGTCATGTAAAATCCAAAGATATATTTGTTACTTCACAGAGCTACCAAGAAAAGAGCTGATCTATTGTCAAAAATTATAAGTGTAAAATAAAAAATTTAAGCTAAAGTTTTATTATTTGATGACAAGTACTAAAGACATTGAAAAAAGTACACAACGTGCAAGTAATTTATAAATATGAATCATAATTAACTGTGATAGTTAAATATCATAAAAACATACTATCACTCTCTTCCAGAAGATATCAGACTAAAAACTGAAATTAAAATTATTCTTGACAGAGTATTAAATGCATTGTTCAAAAACTCTAAGTATTTACAGCCAAAACAAAGCAGAATCTTAGTAATGTTTATATCATTATAAAAATATTTTCAAGTACTCTTCTCACATTTATATTCTATATAAATATAACAGCAAGTTCTATGTATACCATAACAAACTAAATTATAATTATGTGAAAATTTAGAAATAGCCTAGTCAATTTTGATTCCCTAATTTAGAAACTGGATTTTCCTGTGCTGAACTGGTAAGTTATTCAAATCTTAAAATTCTACTTCAAAAATCTGTTGCAATTTTTGTATTTCTCAATCAACATTTGACTTAATAGAAAATATTCTGTAACACAGTACTTGTGATACACAAAAAAGTTAAACATTTTTAGATTAAGGATATAGATAAACATCAAATTATATAAGACAATTAAAAATATGGACTGTTTAATATTAACAAAAAGTGTCACTTTATAAGATATAATACTCAATAAAATGAAAATAAAACTTTAAAAAGACAAGAGGTAAAAGAACCACAATCATCAACTGTGTAAAGGAAAAACACGATTATATTTATTGCATTTATTGGCTACTATATCAACCTCTCATAAAATCTTTCTGACCTATTGAATAACTTCAGAGCTGAAGTATGCTCTCCCATAGGAGTAGTGAAACAAATTAGTTACAATTACAATTCAATATAAAAAGCTAACCTATTTACCCTTAAGATTTCTTATTTTATAGGTTTATCTTTTAAATTAAAAGATTTTCCCCGGATTTTCCCCAAACGGATCAAGTGGACCACTTGGGATAACTACAGATTTTTCTGGTATGTTTTCTATAGAGAAAAATAGTTGATACAAGTGAATTGTGGAAAACTATGGTAACTACACCTCCCCAAAGTGAATACAACAAGCAGCTGTTGTAAGAATTGCTTGGCTTTCAGACAGCATATAAAGGGTGTCCTTTTCCCCAATTTTGCTATTTTTAAAGTTTCTTGTTTTAAAAAAACATGATTCTACTACAATTCTTAAGATACAAAATCTTAAAGGGAAATTATGCTGTGGACAAGATTCCACTTGTCTCTCAAAGGGCAACAAAATAATTGGGCATGTTGCCCCCTGACAGTGGGTTACATAGTAATTTTAAACATTGTCTTTGTTTCTTAACTCAATGCTTCACAGAAACACAGCAGCATTCATCCTAGGGGAAGGGACTAAAAATTTAACTTCTTGGTGATTTTTATTTTTTTCTGGAATTTCTATGATAATTCTTTCTCCTTTGGGTTTCACTGGCTTCAATCTACTTCTAAAGTCAGTAATAGTCTGACATCCTCATTAAACATATGAAGTCTTAAAGTTTAACTTCAGTGACAGAATAAATAATGCCCTATTTTCTGCATAAAGCGTAAAATGTAATAATTTTCATCTGGGTGAGAAGAATCAGTAAGTCTTCATGGATTATTGTCTTTCTTCTTAACTGTACCAACAACTTGGTCAGTGCTTTTTGGTAAGCTAACTGTACCTCCTTTGATTCTTAAAGAACAGAATTTTGCCTAAAATTCACAAACATTTTACAGAGTAAAATGCCATCTTTATAACATTTGGAAATTCCCACAAACTGTACACAAATATACAGATGCTGTACCCTTATGAACAAAATAATAAAAAAGAGTATGTCTAGGGCCGGGGATTTAGCTCAGTGGTTCCCCGACCTGCCTCGCAAGTGCAAGGTCCCGAGTCCAATCCCCCATACCAAAAAAAAAAAAGTATGTCTAAACATATTTCAAGTAACATGAGACGACTTTACTTGCTTCTTAATTTTCTACTCAAGCCTGCTCACAAACAATTTGAGGTTATTATACAACACTGAAGAGTCAGATCCACAACTGCATTTTATACTAACAGTAACATATTGATTTAATTCTTAAAACATTCCTGAGAGTATTTCAACAAGGCACTGTAATTACACTATACAGGAAATCTCTTTGTCATCAAGAAATGGGAATGATAGGAAGCTTCCCTTTCCTTTTGGGGCAACTCCAAAGTAAATGTGAGCGTTTTATTATTCTTACACAAACTTCAAGGTTTATATAGGAATTTGTCCATGTAGTTTGACAAATTACTCAAATTGTTAATATCAATCTGTATATGTTTATACAACCATAGCAGAATGTTTTACTTAAAGCAGTTTTCAAAATGGTACTATACAAATTCCATTATAAGGAAAATTTTTCAGGAAAATTAATTTAAAAATTAATATAAATGAAAAGGAAAATCAGTCTTATATGCTCCAATATATATGTTTACAATCATTTTCAAACCACACCTATCGATCTACTTTTAAAGCCATCTGTCTTAATAAAATATTAATCAAAGAAAATAAGGGGGGGTGATTTGCTCTTTTCCTAGGCGAGATAGTAAGCTAACCTACACAAGGAATACTCAGAAGCAATTGACTGCCAAAAGCTTCCTTTATGCAGTGTGACAGTTTTTACTTCCTACAGAGGATTACTATGAATCATATATTGGGTTTAAATAACACATTTGTTTCAATTATATAATGTCTAAAGAAAACAGTTTCGTTAAAAGAAAAAATAAATCTATTATCAGATATTACATGTAACTTGCAAAAAAGTGATTTGAAGTTATAGATATTGTATCATATCTGTCTCATGTCATACTAGTATTACATGCTTTATATATACATGCATATTGTCTGTCTATATTCTGTAATATACTCCTACATATTTTCAACAATAACTATCAGAATAACATATCTTCAGCAAAGCATGTTAGATCATAAACTAATGTCACACATATAACAATCCATCATTGCATACTACTATATCAATTTTACAGACAGAAAATCTGATAGTGAAACACTAATAGATTTACCCAAACCCTTCAGAACAGATGAGGAAGGTTCTGTAATCACATGCTCAAGATCTGCACAATAATGACTCTGTAAATACATTTTTCTAGCTATTTTTTGTTTTAATTACTTAATTCCTAAATATGAAGTGTTTTCCAAAATCCATAAAGAAAAAATGTATTAAGTACTTAATGCTGAAGTATCTAAAGACAGACAAAAGCTCTAATAATGAACCACTTTCCTTTTAAAATTATTTTTCTAAATCAAATAAACACTGTATATATGCCCTCTTCTGCTTCATACTTTAAACATCAAAGTAAATTGCCCAAACTAATCTCACTCACAATAATTTGCATTATTCCCATTTTATAAGTGAGAAGCCAGGTAAAAGAAGAAAGCTATTTGGCATAGGTCACACACTAACTGTGCGGGAGGTCTGGAGTTAAAACATGTATGTTTGTGGCTCCTTATCTAATTTTCAAAATAAATGGCACTGTCATTCCTATTAATCATCTTATTCCACAGTCTCTTGAGGAAGCACACAATTTTCTGAAGAAGTGGAAGAATATATACTCAAAGTTACAGGTGTAAAGTGATACAGCAAGTTTTCATTTCACTATACTTAGGTTATAATTCATTATTATTTAAATTTTAAAAACTACTCATATCTTATTACCTTAGTACCATGAATTAGAAGCTTGGCTGAATGAGACACTAATTATCTGTCCAGAATTATTTGCTTCTATAGGAGAAATATCACTACAAAGCAAAATCAAAATGAGAAAATTAAAGAGTGGATCCATGTTAAAATGTTATTTAGTGACTTGGAATTGAAAAGATAAATCAATTTTCAGCCTGGCTAACAGGACCTCTTGCTTCTAGTCAACAGCAAGAATTTCAGAGGGACAAGAACATGACATTTCAAGGCAAGTGATGCATGGGAATATGCAAAATGCATTTGAAAAGCTGAATAAGAGAAAAATGAATTAAGTTGGTGGAGTTAAAACAATTAAACAGGCCCTTCAAAATAGATGAGAATAATACATATGTATGTCTTCTAACTTTTGATACACAGTTAAAAATTTTTTTTACAGTTCTTTAAGTAGAATTAGGTATGTAAACTCCTATCAAACTGATACAGGCTTTTAAAGAGAATCATGTTTTTCTGCCTGGCTGCCTTTCAAGCGCAAGGTCCCGAGTTCGATCCCCAGTAGGAAAATAAATAAATAAATAAATAAAAAGAGAATCATGGTTTCAAGATCAAAATAGCATAACTGTACATCCCTAAAATATATGCATCTTTCCAGATTCCAGTATGGTACCAGTAGTCCAACAAACAAACAAGGTAAACGAAAACCCATCACACTAAAAGAGACATACCTCCTGCACTGAGCGTGCTGCTGGCTTGTCTTGATGATTGGCCAATATTAAAAAGGGTAAAGTGCATAACTGTGGGTGCTGAAGAGCTGAGTGAAGTTCATTTCTAGCAGTTTCTAAATCATCCTCTGAAGAAGCACTGTCTAATACGAATATTACCCCTTGAGATCCTTGGTAGTAGCGACTCCAATATTTTCGGATATTATTAGCTCCTGTCAAAAACAAAACAAATTTCACTTTTAGAGATGGTTTTCATAAACTGAAAAATGTTCTAAATAGTAATTTCTGCTAGAATCCTTTTCAAAATTTAGTATGAAAGTCTGTAAGATGGAGTAGAATTCGAATCTAAAAAAGGCAGAGATAATGATGAGAACAGAGACATCAGTGTCAAGTGTCAGATAGGACCTTGAAGGAGAACATAAAACTTTAAGTGCAGCAATTCAATCTTTATATTACAAAAATGTAAACTGATATAAAGGAGGTACTCTCATTTTAATTAACCTTGTTTAATGGCTTTTCCTTCTGGACTTTGCAAAGCCTTCTTGGTAAACACATTGCAAAGCATCCTCTGGTAGGCTTAGCCTCCTTGTGTGTACTGTACTGTACAGTCATGAAACATAAACCTGTTTACCATGTATGTGTAAACAGCCTGGTCACCAGGCCATTTTCAGCCAATAGTCACATCCAGTGCAACTCTGCACAGAAGACTTAAAGTGTGGTTTGTAAGTATGATCTGTAAAATAACTGGTGTAAATTCCCATGTATACCTGTGTACATAGATTGTTAACTAAAATGTACTTTAAGAAAGATAAATCTGTAAATAAAAACTGATTTATAAATTTAAAAAAACAAAAAACTTTAAGGGTCAGGGATTTAGCTTAGTGGTGCCACTGCCTGCGTCACAAGCGCAAGGTACTGAGTTCGATTCCCAGTACCAAAAAAAAAGGAACATAAAACTTTAAGTCATTCTTCATGATTTTTACATCAAAATACATGAGAAGGAATCAGGGTTAGACTTCTTAGACTTAAAGTCAAAAGAATGTTTTCACATTCTGCTTAAGAATCCTAAACATACTACACTTTTTATGCATTGAGTATAGACCTAACTGAAAGACTAGTGTCATCCAGAAGCTCACCAAGGCTTCTCTCTGTACTGTTTATATTAGTTTGGTGACAATTTGATAGAATTGTGTTATGGTTTGAAGTATTCTCCAAACATTCAAGTGTTGGAAACTTAATCTGCAAATTTTATTCATGGTATTTGGAAGTAGGGCCTTTAGGAAATAATTAGGGGTTAGATGAGATAATAAGGGTGGAGACCCCATAATTTATAAGAGGAAGACAGATCTGAGCTGGCACGCTTGCTGTCTCACCACATGATGCTTTCTACACATTAAGAAGACCATCACCAGATTCAGATCTTCAATCTTAGACTTCCAAGCCCTCCAGAACCGATACATAATTTCTCTTCTTTAAAAATTACTCAGTCTGTGATATTCTGTAATAGCAACAGAAACCGGACTAAGATAAATTGCGGGGTTAGCTGGACATCTTTGTTTAATTCCATCTAGCGGACAGAGATGATATTTCTTTTTTTCTTTCTTTCTTTTTTTTTTTTTTTTGTTACCGGGGATCGAACTTGAGTCCTTAGGCTTGCAAGGCAGGCAGCAGAACCACTGAGCTAAATCCCCGGCCCTGAGATGATATTTCTTATACACTGATTATAAAATGAATAGTGTCAGAAGAAACCAGGAGTGAAAGCAGTAAGATGGGGGAAAGAATCTTGGCAAAGATGTTTTCAGAAATCTAGCCTTGGCTTGATTCCCGAAGGATTCTGGAGCTTGGATGGAACCACAGGAGTTATGCAGTCCAGAGGCAAGGAGGCTGGTGTTACACCCCTGTAGAGTCACCCTGAGGAGCAGGAGGGGTTTGGGGCCTCATCTCATATCTCCTAATCATATTGGTTGAGACAATTACTGTCAGCCAAGAGCAGAAGGGTACAGGTGTGAGTCATTAGCAGCCAGTATTCACAGCAGCTGGGAGACGGATACACTGGTCTAGCAAAGGAAATTTGGGTAAGATACCAACAACATCTGCTACAAGCTACATTCAGATACTATCCATATCTAAAGGGATAAAAGTGGAAGCAGTGTTAGTGACAATTATAACAACAAAAATACTGTGTGTACATTTATCAGTATGCAAGTTTGCTATAAATTCTACTAAAATAAAGGATACGCAGCATATACTTTTCAAATAACAATACATGGAACATGCTTTACTGTAAATTCTACAGAGCTAACTAGTGCTCACACAGAGCGTCTGTCGATTTTGTAGTTGCATGTGACCAACTAGTACAGTTCTGATATGACTGACGGTGGTTCCAAGTGTTTTGTAGATATAGCACATTCACCTATGACAGCCTAATGAATAAGGTACTGTTATCACTGTATGGTTTTCAATAGGGAAACCAAGACACAAAGAGATGATATATATCTGGCCAACTAGGATGCCTCTAAGGGCTTCAGGGAGCTTTTAAGAAAATTTTATTCCTCAATAAAGTGAGACACAGCTTTTAGTCTTGGGGTAAAAGGGGATGCTTTGAGAAGTGCTAGCCTTGTAGCAAACTTGAAAGAGACATACCTACACTGAAGAATATCCAAATTGAAAGACAGAATCTGGATCCTTGAGAATAATGCAGTATAACACAACTAACCACTCAAACTATAAGGATTCCTTATGCAAGCACAGCAAATATCTATTGTTCAAGTCAGTTTTAAAAGACAATCTTATAATTTGCAACTAAAGAAATGCTAAGTTCCCTCATGTTAAATTAAAAGGTCATAAGTTCCTTCAGAGATGTTCTTTGAAAGATGGAGCAAATTAAATTTAAAAACAGATATTCAGGAGTCAATAACAAAAAGTTACTGAAAGTTATCTCTAGAAATTTTAATCTCCAGACCAGTGCTATACAATTGAAACATTGGGAATGATGAAAATTTTCTCCATCTGTGTTTTCCAATATGGTGGCCACTAGCCACATGTGGCTACTAAGCACTTGAAACGTGGTTAGTGTAAATGAGAAACTGAAGTGTTTATTTTAATTAAGAGTTAAAATGTCACAGGTGGCTAGCAGCTCTTGTACCAGACACCTGTCACTCTACATATTTCCATAACTGACCACTGACATGAGTGACTGCCAGAAACCATTATGACAAGAGCAATTACAGAGATCTAATTCTGTTTCAGAAAGGAGGAGCAATAGCCCTGCTGGTATAGAAGGGGCTGCAGTCACGCTTATTCAGAGATGGCTTTCCAGAGGCAATTGCCAAAGGCCTATGCCACAGGCTGGCTGGGGCTGCTCTCAGCAACCTGTGACAGCAGAAAGAGTCATGATGAGAAGTCCAGGCTGTCTTCTTTGTCCATCTTCTTAACTGACCAAAGGAATAAAAGGAAATAAGAACAATTTCCATCTGGAAAACTTCATGGAATTAGAGACTCACTAACAGAGGAACTTTGGAGAACTTGAATTATAAATGGGTCTACAAATCTTAGTGAAGAGGATAGCCTTAGAACGAAGATTTCCTCATAAGTATTATTCTAAGAGGAAGTTTCCAACAAGGGGAGAAACCATCCAAAGAGTAGGAGAAGGAAAAGAGAAAGGAGAGTGAAGTAATGACCTTAAACTTTTCTCACGTCTTCCATCTATCAAATTCAGTCTATTTTAACTAGTGATCTGTTTTGATTCTCTTATCTTCTATAAAACAGCCTCATTAATCTGTTTTTATAAATTGAAATACTAAGAATTCAGGAGGGACTAAAACATACACATCTAAACTGAAACTTTTATACAGATTGTCCTACTCATACACACACACACACACACACACACACACACACACACACAGTTAAAACATAGGAAAATAAATGAAGCTCTCTCTAAATGAGCAATGTAAAGTAAAAAAACATAAAGACTTTAAGGTTCTCTACAGAAATTTATAATTACTATTTTGCTCTTCAAAGAATCAAGAAAATACTGTAGATAATAAAAGTCCTTAGAAAAATGGGAAGTTGTAAGTTCTTTGTGAAAACAAATGTTTGGTCTGCAAGGCTGAGGAAGAACCTGAACAGTGAACAACCATTTAGCTGAAGACTAGTCTCAAGAAACACAAGGAGATCTCAGTGAACATCCATGGGGAAATAACAGGCAAAGATTAGCTAGTCACCATCTCCTTCTAGAATACTATCACTCCATGTCACAACTCACTAAGGTGCTTATAGGCACCACCTTTTTTCATCCTTTAGCTTTTATTATCCCCCCTTAAGGAAGAAACTAGAAGAGAAAGAATAAACATTTTGCTCTGAGTCCAGATAATAAGAGGCAGATTTAAAAATCAAACTTTGGCCTATCTGATCTATAAGACTATATTTTTCCATTCCAATATATGAGACTGCTTTCCAAAGAATCTGCAAGGCTCCAGTGTAATGAGAATGGATGGAATGTTTTATGTGAACGAGCATGCATATTTATAAAATGTGCCCATAGGCTTAAAGAATGGTTAAAATTGATACTGAGAGGGCCAGGGATTTAGCTCAGTGGTTCTGCCACCTGCCTTGCAAGCACAAGGTCACAAGTTCGATCCCGATACCAAAAAAAAAAAAAAAAAAAGATTGATACTGAGGAGAAAAAGAGAAAAGGCATTACAATTTGGGGGCAGGAGGATGGCAGAGAAAGTAAGGAAGAAATTAGGATTGGTTGGGTAGAAGGGCACAGTGAAGATAATGAACATATAACATGAAATCTAAGTTAGTGATAAATAAATACCTGGTTTGAAGACAGCACGTGAATGAGTTTGTAAGCCAGGCAAAGTGTCTGAGCTGGATTCAGCAGTCAATGCAGAATTACTGAGCCCTAAGGAATACTACTTGGCCTATTCTTTCTTGTCTTGCTGAAGGGCCCTGTCTACTATTTACTGCCATTAGTGCTTACATTGGACAATACCCTCTTCCCATACTGGAGCTTCATCCAAGTTCAACCTAACAAGCCTCCAGAACTCACAAACCCTACACACTTTAGACGTATGGTAACTGCATGGCCTGATAAAGATTAGCTTATTAAAGGATGCCTTATATTACTAGAAATCCCCAGGACAAAATGCGAGGAAGGAGGAAAAAACAAAGTTCTTTATTCTCCCAAAGCCTAAGAGGCTAA